CAGTAGTAGTGTAGAACTTCTCTTATTGATCATCCACTCTCAATTTCAAATCATCACTTTCAAAGTCCATGATAGCTCGGCTTTTGATAGATTAGATCTGCCTAAGATAAGTAATGTTGCATCCCATGGCTCCTCTATAATTAGGACAATAAAATCGACCAAGAATATAAATTTGCCCACTTTAAAATGAGCATGTACCATTTCTCATAGGTATTTAACTGATCTGCCAGCTAATTGAAGGGAGATGGATTTGTCCTTCAACTCTTCCAAACCTAAGTTCCTGTATACAGAAAAAGGCATTACGTTTGTACTTTGCATAAGCAATTAAAATTCGAATCTTTTCCTATTGAGCAAGGTATTTTAAGACTTTCTAGATCTTGCAATTTATGAGGTAATTTGTTCTGCAAGATGGCACTGCATTCCTCATTTAACTTGATGATCTTGAGATCTGTAAGCTTTCTCTTTTTTGATAGGATCTCATTCAGAAACTTTACATAGTTTGGTATTTAAGATTAAGCTTCAATCAATGGGATATTGACATGAAGCTTTCTGAAGATATCAAAGAACTTTGCAAACTATTCTTCCAGCTTCTTATTTTACAATTTTTGGAGAAAATGGGACAGGAGATACATAAGGTTTGACAAGAACAATTGCCTTAACATGTTGATTTTTTGACTCTTGACATGGATCTACTTCATCCGTGTGTTTAGATTTATCTACTTGCTTCTCATCCGTGGAAAATACCTTTTGATTTACTATCATCCGTCTCTTGACTGTTATTTCTGGAGTTGAACCCCACTGAGCGTGGTGATTGCCTCAATCTCCTCACTCTTTACAACTTTTACTGCCATTACCTACTATTTTGGATTTGTCTCCATGTCACTTAGTAGTATCCCTTACTGTCTTTCTGAGAGTACTCTTTCTATCTGTCCCATTTGATGTTCCAAATTCTTGATGGCAGTTCTTTGAACTTTTAAAGTCTTGTCTGTTCTTTACATGTTTTGATAGATATCTTTGCCACTTTAGTCACAAGATCCTCTAATGAAGATGACTTCTCATTCTACTGGAAACCTAGCGGTGTAGTTCCACTGAAAAGATTGGGTGATTTTTCCAACCTAGGTAATAAGATTCAGGATTTGGATTGTGTTGCCGCATCTAAAAATCTTAAGTGTAGTTCACGTTCTCCACTGTTTGAACAAAAGGAGATCTTATATTTTAGTCAACACTTTCTTAGTTCCCTCCACAAAGTCTACATTTTAGTCCCACTGCCTATGTTACACTCATATGTTCCACCTTTTGTGCTAGTACTGCCAACTGTACTGAAATTGCTTTTATAGAGTCAACTTCGAATACCCCATCAGCTTTCCATCCACTCATCCTTTTAGTAGGCCAAAATGCACTGGTGAATGTTAAATCCTCCATTATTTGGTAGACTTGATCCACAGTTCTTTTTGTGATGGAACCATTGCATGTGAAGTCTACGTTAGGCCTGCTAATCGGGTTAGACCAATATAAAAATATTGTACTTGAAACCACTACTACAGTCCGTGTTGTGGGTATTGATGAAGTAAACCCTTGCATCGTTCTGATTCTAGTTTTTGGAAGGTGGTAATCTCAACCTTTAGCTTGGCGATCCTCTTCCATGAGAAATATTTGCTAAGAAATTTCTGACTTGGTTCCATATAGTGATGTTGTGCGATGGACAAGTGTCTAACCACTCCCTCACTGAGTCCCTCAATGTGTATGGGAAGAGCCTTAGTCTGATTGGTTCGTTTGAAACCCCTCGGATACTCAATTGTTACACACATATCCAAGAATTTTGACATATGAGCATTGAGATTCTTCGTAGCTTTCCTAAAGAATTATAGCACATTTTGAAACATATTGATAACATCTGTCCTTAGGTGGAAATTCGCCTAATCAAATGCCGGATATACGATACTGGATTGACTTTCCACAACCGGCAGACCCATATACTTTCCTATGAGTTTTTGCATTTTCATTGGTTGTAGCTATATTCCGTCGTGATTAGCCCTGATGGCTATTTGATTCTGATTTTCATTTGCCATGTCTTCCTCTTTCTGTTTTTGGTGTGTTTCCAACTGTTGTTTTCTTTGAAAGTTAAATGCTGGTTCTATTTCTGGGTCAAATTGAGCAAGATCTATAGTTCTCGAACTTTGCATATAATGTCATAAAAAGGAAGTAAGAAACACTATAAATATTATCTAAATTAATGACTAAACTAAAAAAATAAAAAAAAAATTAGATTAAAGCTAAAATTAACTAAAACAAATAAAAAAATAATAATCCCTAGCAATGGCACCAAAAACTTGATCGTTTGATTTCCTACAAATGGTCAAGATCGTGAACAAGTAATAAAGTAGTGAATAAAGTGTCGATCCTACAAGGACTATATATTTGATCGAGTTCAAATTAATAGAAACCTTAATTGAATAGCAAATAGATTTTGAGTTTTCTGTATTAATATGTAAATTATCAATTAAATTAGAAAAGCAATTTAATGGGTTTTTTTGTTTTGTTTTGTTTTTTGTTTTGTTTTTTTTTAATATGTGAAAGTATTGTTAAAATGTCGAATTCCCCTTATTATTATATTTTTAGTATAACAATTAAAGCGGTAATTTGAAATAATTCATGTTGATCAATGTTCCTAATTTAATTGAAAGCCTATCTCAATAGCAATTAAGTATATACCCCTCATGTGGCATTTTTATTTCTCAATGAAAGATGCAAACATGATAAATACATTGACAAGTGTTGGAACATCTATTGAAATCATATAAAATATAGATGTATATCTCTATTCTCTATTAAACCTTACAATATTTATTTTATTGTCCTTAAATCCTATTGCCTCTAATAATTCAATTGGAAATCCACTAACAATTTAATTGAAAATCAAGCAATTGAAAAGAACGATTAAAACGATAATAAACATCCACAAATTAAACCTAATTAAAGTCAAAATAATTAATTAAATGCTAAAAATATCATAACAATGGTTCATCTCATCCTAGCAATGTATAAAACTAGTCTAACATATTAAAATTACAAGCTTGAATTTTTGATAAATTAAGAAGATGAAGATGAATTTTGAAATTTTGAATCTCTTCGATAGTTTCTTGGTGAATCTCCACCTGCACCTTCTTTTTTTTACTCAAAAATCATGTTTGAATCTTCATTTGATGGAATTCTTGCAAATCCCCATCAATTCTTTCACAAAAACTATGAATTGTCCTCCTTTGATGATAATAATAGATGAATAATAGAGTAATATGTATACGAGAGATGTAAGAGATATCATTTAATGTATTCTGCTGTTATGTATTTGTAAGCGTTCAAAATTGATTGAAAATTACGTCCAAATTGATTTCCAACAAAGTTCCACTCGAATAAAGAAAGTAACATTCGCACGCAGAGTTTTTTTGTCTCTACACAGCAGTCAGTATTTTGGTTATAACTTTCTCTCATCCGATTGAGTTGATTCAAAATGAGTTGGAATGATAACTCAGAGTGCTACAATTTTTATAGTAGAATTATTTCCAATTCAGACGTTTTCTATACCAAAAAGGGGTCTCGGTCTTTTACTAAAAGTCTGGAAGATATCTTCTGTGATTAGAAGTCGATTATTGGTAATATTTTGATCATATTTCATTTCATTTTGACTTCTAATTACATTCAATTGACCCCTATCAATCTTGAAAGATCTCTTGTGGTTCAAATCAACCATTAAATATTTGCAATTTGGTTTTCAAACTTAGTACTTCACCATTTTTTGTTGTTTCTCACTTCTTTCTTTCAATTCAACTTGCAACCATTGAATTTTACTTAATAAACGAAATATACAATAAATTAGAATATAATTGCTTAAAAAACCATTAAATATCAATATTTTGAAGTCCAAGGCTTTTAAAACACTCTAATATTCCCAAGGATTCTATATTCAATACTGTAATGTTAGCTTATCGAGTGTATAACTCTACTAAGTATATGTTTCAAATGGCGTGTAAAGCAATATTGAATGGAAGGTGGACATATTATTTTATTTTATTTTCTTTTTACTTTCTTATCATTGTCCATTAAAATATACCTTATTAAACATACCACTAGTGTTTGAAAATAATGAAGATTCACTAAAACCATCATGAAAATGCATGAATAAATATCTAAGGGATTTGTGAGCGATCAACCAACTACACTATTAAATCTATATGTAATGGTCAAAATAGTTCACTTTAATATTAATTTGCTTAAGTTTGTCAATATATTTATTCGAATGGATCCCGCCCAAGTCGAGATCAAACATTTTAATTTCCCAAGATCTTCAGTGTTGCAACACCAGCATAAGCGTATGTAATTATTATGTTTTAGTGCACTAAACCAAAAAGAACCTTTTGCAGCGGTCAAAAAATGCTACCAATCACCTTTTGCATCGTTCGCGCATATGTTGTGGGATGCAGTGTTGCTTTAGAGTCTTTAGATACGACAACGTTCCTTGACCGTTGTAAAAGGCTTCAATGAAAGTTGCCTTTTGTTTTTCGCAACGTTCAGCGAGTGTTGCGAAAGCCTTTTCCCAGCGTTCGACGAATGTTGCTAAAAAGTATTTTGCAATGTTCTGTGAATGTAGCGAAAGACTTAATACTTTTTAGCAATGTTTTTAGCAACGTTCGATGAACGTTGCGAATAACTTTTTCGTAGCATTTTCTGAATGTTGCTAAAAAGCCTTTCGCAACATTCACAGAACATTGCAAATAAGATTTTTTTTTTTTTTTTTTTTTTTTTTTTTTTTTTTTTTTTTTTTTTTTTTCAACTTTTTTTTTTTTTTTTGTTGTTATCTATGTTTATATCCTTATTTTTTGCAACATTTTTTGATTGTTGCCATATGTTATTTTATATATATTTTTTAAAAAATTTGCATTTTTCGTATTTGTATAGTAATTTTCACGAGTAAACCACAAAATAAGATAAAAGATGACAATATCAAACAACTCCAATAGTCATTAATAATTGTACTACAAAATGTACCAAAATATGCATACAAAATTTAGATCCAAAATTCTGAAACCCCTAAAAACCAATAGATTTCCCAAAAAAGATAAAAAAAAAAAAAAAGTAATGGTAACAGGTTTCAAATAACAGTAATGCCTGCCTTCTGAAGATCCTCCATTCTGTCCTTTCTGTCCTTTATGGCCAAAGCAATCTGATAGCAAGTTTCGAATCTGCAAACCAGGAATATATAAAGTTGATTTTCTTTTGAATCATGATAAAGACAGACCAAGGGTAATAGACAGAAAGGGATTGAGTACTTCCTATATACCTGAAAGATAGAATCATATTTTTAGAAATAAATAAAACTTATTAATAAAACAAATCACCAATTAACAATCGCTTCATTTTATAAACTGTAATACATGTGCTTTCATGGGGAAAAAAACTATAAAAACAGAAGTAGAAAAAATAAAGAAGGTACCATGCATAAAGCATATATAAACTTTCAGATTAAACATTACCCGCTTTCTTCATTTGGATTAGCAAGTCTTAGATGGCAAAACACACTCATTCAATGAACTCAAAAAGCAATAAGTAAAAAATTCATTTCATTGATCTAAAAATTAGGTGATGAATATAAGAAACCACTACAACATTTAGAGGCATAACATCGTAATTTATAACCAGCATCACTAACGCAACCCTTCTCCCCCTTGTGTAACTGTAAACAAAAAGTTAGGGACAGCTCATATGAATATTTCTATACACCCATTAACATCATCCCTCTTCCCCACATGACAGCCACCCTCTTCAGACATGTTCGAACACCAATCCATTCAGAAAAGTAACCATTAACAAATGAGATGCTTACAATTGCTTTCACTTAGTAGCACAAACAAGGAGTGTGAAATGATGCCCTGTTTGGATATGCCCATTTAAATTATTCCGACGCTTCCATGGTCCATGGATATGCAAGACGACTTGAACCCACAGAAACCCCATCAAATCAAGTATTCATGGCTTCTTCAATTGTTTAATTCAATATCAAAAAATTGTTTAATTCAAGAAAATGTAGCCCCTCAGAAGCCTTTGTCATTTTTTACTCCCGTAGCAGAAATCTACTTCACATGAAAATGGGCAGATACAAGTCTCTATCCCATGAAATAATTTTCATCTAACATCCCCTGCAAGCCAAAAGAATCTCTAATCTGGATCTTTGAAACTACACTTCGAATCTGTGATGCACCGACACAGGCACGTGTGTCCGACACGATACGTGTCGGATACGTCGACTTGTGGTTTTTCAAAAAAGTACTGACACGACATGTCGTCGACACGTTCATTAAATTTTTAAAATTCTTCATTTATATAGTTTAAATTTAGTTTTATACTTATTATTGATTCTTTTTTGTTGAAATCTTTTAAATATGAGTACTTATTTGTTATTTATTAAAAAATTTTAGTTAAAAATATATAATAGTTATAGTAAGAAAGAAAAATGATTATTGTAGAGTGTCCGAAAATTGTCGGTATCGACACGTATCCGACACGTGTCGGACACGGACACGCTACTCTAGTTAGAGTGTCCGTGCTACATAGCTTCGAATAGTACAGGATTTTTAAAAATTCTGTCCTAATTTTTCTTCTAGTTTATTGAGTTTCCTTCTCTTTCCCCAGTGAAATGAATGGGAGCATTAGAGTAAAAATAGAATTATAAAATACCATATATTGCATCATACTTACGAAGGGTGGAACTGGTTGAAATGATCAAACCATATTATATTATGGCTTCTATGAAGATAAGAAATGGACAAAAAAATAACTCAAATGCGAATGTCAATTAACAAGGATAGATCAACAATTATCTCACTTAATTTCGCCTATAATTGTCAGTCTACTCTTGAAAAAGAATAGAAAAATTAATGCAAAATCCCAACATAGTGTGTGCCATAATAGATTTGAGACAAAGATTACGAGCTGACACAGTCTAACAAAGGGAATCAATTCAAAGACTTAACAATAGATAGACCTATATGTTAATACTCAACGAAAATGGGGGAGGAGTGAAATCCTTTGATCCCCTTCATAGACATAAAAAGAAAAAGCTCGCAACCATTCAACATCATTTATTCCCCAATCATTACAAGCACTCAGCTTAACAGCAAAAATTATCACTGACCTTGACAAGGACCTTTGATTTTCCCATAACTTTGACTACTTCCCCAACATATGATCCAGGCTCCTGAAGAAGCTGCAGTTCCTCCTTCAGTGATCTCACTGTTCGTCAAGGAATTGTCCCAAAACAAATCCAGTACACATGTTAGATTAAAATAAAAAACAAGGTTCTTAAACTCAAACCATCTTTGTCTGGTAATCTTAAATTGATTCCACATCCTTGACCCTACCAGTGACTAAGATGCAAGCAAAAAGCAACTGTTTTCCTATTTATGAAAATGTATAAAGAAAATACATAATGCCTAATCTAGCCACGGAAATGTACAGCACAAATTATACCATCGGATAAAGATTTTGGCACTTGAATAGAGCCCAGCTGACCTCAAAATTGTAAGAAAAAATCTGTTTCAAAATTTCAAGAACTATATACAGAAGATATAAGTTCAATTTTACAAAATTTGATTTGAGATAACATCCAATTCTTGAATATTTATGACAAATGAAAAATATAAATACTTTCTTGCCCATTTATTCTTATGACAGTTTTACCACTTCTGCGTACTTCACAGTGGTTATCTATTTAAAGAAACGCATAGTACATATGAAAATTTTACTGCTTCGTGACCCTTGCCCTCCTATATCAGTTAAGCAAATATGAATGACCAGAATATTGGAAAACGAAAGAAATTGATAATGCCTGCAAAATGTACTCAATTAATTAAAGCGGGAAATTCCATTATTCCTTTGATATGCTTTAAGTGATTTCCAAGCCAATTATAAAGTAATTTTTCCAGGCTAGAGAGTCAAGAGAAGGAAAAGAACAAAACAATTGCAGGAATTCTTTACAGTCATATTTCATCTTTCCTAGACCAAGCAACAAACATCTTTTGAGCATTCTTTATTCTTTTCCCTAAAGTCTTAAGTAATCTCATGTTTAATGTCCAACCAGTACGAACTACTAATATGGATACAAGAACTGAAGAAAAGCAACAACTTTATTAAAGAATGTACTGATTACATAATGCAAATGCCAAGAAAATCAGAAGGCTGTTAATCCCAGATCAAAAATGCAATAATGCGATCAAACCAGAAATCTTGAAACTAGAAAAGTCGGCTTTAACTTAAAAAACCTGCCATTAACATAGCATTAACTTACCTGAATAGTCACCAAAATTGAAATTTCGTTTGGCAGCCCAAGCGGCCTCATGTTGGAGGGCTTAAGACTTATGCTGTATTGATTGTATTTCCCCATTTTCTTTCGCCTTTTGCTTGTGGCATTTTGAATCACTGTTCAAAAATCAGAGGCAGAGTCGAGCATAGAAGGAAAAACTAGGGCTGAAAATCGTTTTGACGAGTTTTTCTTTTTGGTTTGGGTTGGGTAATTTAAGTTTTCTTTTTAGCAAAGTTCAAATGAATGTTGCCAAAAGCGAATTTTTCGCAACGTTCACTAAAAGAGGGCTTTTGCAACGTTCACCTAATTGTTGCTAAAATTGGACTCATCGCAACGTTCAAATGAGCGTTGCAAAAAGTGGAATTCTTCGCAACGTTCAATGGACTGGACTCATCGCAACGTTCAAATGAGCGTTGCAAAAAGTGGAATTCTTCGCAACGTTCAATGGACGTTGCAAAGAGTGGTATTGGCAACATTCATTTAAAGAATGTCGCTAAAACTCAATAAAGTTAATCAATCGCAACATTCACTTATTAGAATGTTGCCATAGCCTCATTTAGTAACATTCAATTAATGAATGTTGCCTTTTGAGTGTTGCAAAAAGGCTTTTTTGTTGTAGTGAGTATATTGTGTCGAGGTTATCAGCATATCAATTTTGAAAGGAGTTAGTGGTCACTTTATAAGTGTGAGGAAAACCCTTACCTTTTGATCTGGCTTTAAGGTTTCGAAGTCCCAAAATCATCTAACACTGGTGTCAGAGCCCAAGTTATCAACAAGTCTTGGCCCAACAGTTCACGAGATATACTGGTTTCCTCCTACGCAAGGCCCAATATGTGAGTGAGATATTGTTGAGGTTGTCCTACATCGATTGTGAAATGAGCTAGTGGTCAATAAAATTGCGTGGAATAAAAGGACTAATATTTTACGTAAAAAAGTCCAATCCAATTTAGGTCAAAAAAATTAAGAATCTCCTCATGGATAAAAATTCTAATGCAATGTATGAAAACTCTAGAAACTTCCTCACTTGAAAAATTAAATCCAACTATAACAAAATATTCGAACTCTACAACAAAAACCAAAATTTCTCCAACACAAAAATACTCATCATCTTCCACGATATCCAACACAAATACTTGAACCTAACCACTGGCTTTTCTAAAATTTAGGAAAAATTAGAAATTATGAAACAGTGTTGAAGTACACCCTGTAACGGAATTGACTCCCGATGCTTTCATAGAAGACTCCTTGGCTAGTCTCAATACCTTTAAAAACACTAAAAGCATGTACAATCAAATCAGTATCTACATACATATCTCCAATGAGTCTATCCTTAACATTTGAGTAATGGAACTTCAGGTAATGGTGGCAAAGTGAAATTACACATATTCTCGAAACTCGATTGAGTAGTACTCTTCAATATAAATCCCAAACCAAATTCTAAAACTACAGTACCAAACTGAATCTCTACCACGGTATTAAATTTGTGTTAACTATTGTTAACAAATTCTGTTTGACCTTATAAGATATTTAACTGGGACCTCTTTCGCCCCGCTAATACAACATGAGCACTCGTCCCAAACCCTCAAGACTTTAACGTGTACCGTTTTGAATCAAAAGTACACAATAAAATGACATTATTCTTCAAGTCTGAAATATATCAAACATGATCAAATGATCTACATGTTCCATTTACTAGTTTCAATTGACTCCATCAACAACAGCTATCGACAAGGTTCGTTATTATCCATAACAATGATACCTAGCATCGCCGTTTACAAATTCGAATTGGGACACATATCAAATGAAAAAGTTGTATCCAAAATTCACTCCTTGTTAGGTTTAGATTTTATGTCAAAAATTGTCAAAACATCTCCATCACTAAAATAGTTCTCGGCTATATTGGTCTTTTCTAAAGTATTTAATTATTTCCTATGATTTGTAGTCAAATTACATTCAATCCCTCTTGATGTGTTATTTTTCCTTGTAATAATAACAAACCTAATTATTGAAATTTGACCTCATCTTATTCCTTCTCCCATCCCCATGAATAACCAGAGTTCATCCATCTTTGGCCGCAGATCCGACCAGATGCTTCATCTTCTCTTTTGAAAATAAACATCATACACATCTTCAATGGCAAGAGAATAATGACTATACAAGATCGTATCTCTAAACGAAGTGGGCAGTGAACACAAAAGGATTAAGGCCAAATATTGTTCATCGTACTTTACCTCTAAAATTTCCAAATCAGTGAGATCTCCTTGATCATGGCCTAATGATCTCCTAAAGATCTGCCTTTTGCCAATGATGATAATACAACATCTATTTCAGATGCAATTTGCTTGTCAGACTTTTTAGTCAAACACAATTTCTCTAATTTCAACCACAATGTTGTTGTCTTTTTCTACTTTAAAACGTCCTGAAAATATTGTTAGAGAGATGAAGACGCATCTGTAAAAATGCCTTTCGATCCTTTCATTGTTTCTCCTCCATAGCCCAAGTTGTAGACATTTTGTCAAATCCCAACAACGCATCATCCAAATCCATCTGAGGGAGTACAACTCACTTCTTGACTTTTCACAATGAGAATCTTTTATTGCAATCAAAGAGCGAAATTTCATACTTCATGACCGACATCAATAACAAAAACCCCAAACAAATCACAACTTATAGCTCTAAGACAACTTGCTGGGAAATAAAACGGATCGAGATAATGTAAATATATATATAAACAAACAACAAACTATAATGCAGAGAATTAATTGATAGAAGAACTGAGTATTTTATTCAATTAACTAATATAGAGAAAACAAATAAAATAATTGTGCCTATACAATTATTCTATATTTCAGTAATCAATCAACTTGTAAAGAAGAACCAACTATATATAGGGGACATATCAAAACCCTAACAACATTCATAAAGATGAAAATAGTATAAAAAACGTGTGAATAAAGGAAATATTTTTTTTTCCAAAAAAATGACCAACCTAATTTAGATATTAAAAAAAAAAAAAAAAATCCTCAACATCTTGTGCTAGGCAGTATTGGATAGAACAATAGACAATACATTATCTTATCATTATTCGCTAAAATTGTTGACTATTATTATACACGCCTTTATCAAAAATTCCAATAATGTTTGAGAATAATGACGATTCACTAAAACCATCACTTGAATGCATGAGAACGTATGTTAGAAGGTCCATTCACATTTAATTTATTTTGCTTGCGTTCTTCTTAAGTTCTGGATATATATTAAATTTAATGCATTTCGAAGGTGCTTGGAATGCATGATTAGAGCTTCTCATCAAATTTTCTTTGTTTTCGAGTAGCCTAGATGGTTCAAAATTCGAAGAGACGAATTTATTAAAAATTGACCAAAAAAATTGAAAAAGTAGAAATTGTTTAGAAAGCAAGAAGCGGTCTCTAATACAAGTTATCCATGCAATTTCATCAACTTTTAATTTATTAAAGTTTCTTTGTTTTTACTTTCATTTGTGTATAAATTATATTGATATTTTAGGAGTTACACTATGCAAAAAATTATGCAAAGAAGGAAAGAATAGAAGCAATTTGGCCAAAAGATTAGGATTCAATTATATAGAATTTAAGCGTTGACAGCGGCGCCTAGGTAGTGTTCTCTATGCATGATTCTGCTTTGAAAGAAATAGGCAGTGGACAAACTGAAATATAGACAGCCGAAGCCATAATCAATCAACTTGTAAAGAAGAACCAACTATATATAGGGGACATATCAAAACCCTAACAACATCCATAAAGATGAAAATAGTATAAAAAAAGCGTGGAATAAAGGAAATAATTTTTTTTCCAAAAAAAATGACCAACCTAATTTAGATATTAAAAAAAATGATAAAAAAATCCTCAACATCTTGTGCTAGGCAGTATTGGATAGAACAATAGACAATACATTATCTTATCATTACTCGCTAAAATTGTCGACTATTACTTGAAAAAGTAGAAATTGTTTAGAAAGCAAGAAGCGGTCTCTAATACAAGTTATCCATGCAATTTCATCAACTTTTAATTTATTAAAGTTTCTTTGTTTTTTCTTCATTTGTGTATAAATTATATTGATATTTTAGGAGTTAGACTATGCAAAGGATTATGCAAAGAAGGAAAGAATAGAAGCAATTTGGCCAAAAGATTAGGATTCAATTATATAGAATTTAAGCGTTGACAGTGGCGCCTAGGTAGTGTTCTCTATGCATGATTCTGCTTTGAAAGAAATAGGCAGTGGACAAACTGAAATATAGACAGCCGAAGCCAATGACCACACAGCCCAGTCCAAGATTCCTAGGTTGAAACTAAGATCTGGTCCAATTTTACAAATTAGGGTTTCAATTTCGTTCCAATTTGAGGAAATGCTGGTTTCGAACCTAATTTTGGCTATTTTGATAATTTTAACCAAATTCGAGGATTTTGACGATAGTTGGGATTTCAGTGAAATTTTGGGTTTAAACATCATTTTGGGAAATTAGGAATTGACCTTGATGTAAGGGCATGACCTCAAAACTAAGGTTTGACCTTTATTCTGATTTTCATTAATTTTATTTGGATTAAAATTACAATCAGATTTTGCTATCAATTTAATTAAAGAGTATGTTAAATTATTTATTTTGATATTTGAATAGAAATAACAAGGGTTTTGCTCTAATTCGAAATTCCCTTTTTTATGTTAACGTTAGTCTCTAATTGGGGATTTTAAATAAAAACTAGATTTTGTATTAAAATTTCTATTGTCGTTGTAATAAGATCCGCCATATAATGTTATCAATTCATTGACAAGTTCTAATCCAGCATTCTAACGAATCAGTGTATTAGTATCTATTGGTGTTGTTATTTCGTTTTATGTGCTTTTCTTGTATCATCATTTTTAATAGAGATCAGAGACACACATATTGAAAAATAAAGGGGAATAAAGAAAGGGAAAGGAGAGAATCGAAGGTAAGCTGTCTATTTCATTTTAATAATGCACCCATATATAGGGTTCTGAGAATTATAAATTGACAAAGTCCTTAAAATCTAATGCTAGTCCCAAGTCATTAATAATTAATTGGGTTATTAGCACAAAACATCCCTACGCATGTAATTTATCACGCAAAACATTCCAGCGTTACATTTTTTTTGTCATTTTCACCCTTATTTTAATATTTCATAGCAGAAATCATCATTTTCTTCTCTTTTCATCCATTTTTTCAGT